GAGCTCAGAAGACCAGAATACTGATAGAAATAATGGTGGAAAAGACCAAGCTCAGGATGTTTCTGCTAGGAAGAAGGACTGCATTGTCTATTGGATGCCAGATGATATGTGTTATGGCTTAGCAGAACGTTTCTCTGCATTTTTCTCATGTCCAGAGACTTTACCTAAAGCTGAGATTAAGGGCAGCAGACTAATCTTTCAGAAGAAATTTCAAGGCAGTCTAACATTGAGGTGGTGTCATGGCTACTGTTGGGGGCTTCTGGCCAGATTTATGTTGAGAATCAAGAGCAAAGAGCCCAGCAGAATGAGTCAAACATTGTGGGTTTGGGCAAAAAGGAAGCTCCATTAAAGTCATAGCCTGAACAGATGGGCGAGGAAAAATTGGTTACTGAAAAGACTAGAAAGAAAAGGCCAAGTATTTCAGAAGAAGACAACAAAAATGATGGCCTAAAGGCATCACAAGAACCAACAGGACTCCAGCCTTTGCAACCTCAGAGTTGCAAAGGTGAGAGACTTTGCTTTGAGAAGTGAGCCCCTGAGTACCATGTTCTATAATGGTGGTGGCATAAAGTATTTTTTTCTGTAGGACAGTGTTCAGAGTTATCAGGGATCCAGGCACTCTATCTGTATAGCCAAAAGGGAAGGAAGTCTGGGTACTATTCCAGCTGGCAGCAGACCTGGGCATCATCCACATGGTGCTGGTTTTAGGTACATACAGAGTAAAAGAGTTGTGGGGTCAAGAAGGCTCTTCCACTCAGATTTCAGAAGAAAGCCTGGGTGGCCAGACGATGTGCTCCTGAGAGGGTGGTGTGTGAAGTTATGGGTTAAATGGAAGGTTCAGTGGAGACTCCAGAAGTTTGGAGAAGCCAGGAACATAGATTGTCTGAGAAAAACTATAAGGTGGGCGCAGAGCTGAAACAAGAGAGAAGCCATGGGAGCTTCCACCACCAGAAGTGCCATAGGGGCAGAGCAACCCATTCCCTTTGGAATTCACAACTTGCTACAGATTGCCTCAGATGCTGCAACGGACTTACAGGAGTAAATGATTGTCCTGCTGGATTTCGGACTTGCTTTGGTACCCTCTTCCTTTGTACCCTCTACATGTACCTTCTGGAATGGTAATATTTGTCTTGTTTCACTGTACATTGGAATGTTTAACTTTCTTTTCATTTGTACAGGGGCTCACAGCTAAGAGTTTCAGAGGAGACTTGGGACTTAGATTTTCAGTAATGTGGAAACTGTTAAGAACTTGGAAACTCTTAGAGATGGACTAAATGCCTCTTTTTTTGTAAAGGAATGAGTCTTTGGGGGGCCAAGCATGAAATGTCATAGTTTGTGTCTAGATGTCCCCTCAAAGCCTCGTGTAGTCATAGGTGGGGCTTTTTCAGAGGTGGCTAGATCTATGGTGTGTGATTCATGGTGCAGGGCTAGGATTAAGGGTGCTAGGATTAAGGGTGAGTGATTACTAAATCAGTCCAAAGATGGGTTGGCACTATTCAGTAATCTATACAAAATATAACAGGGGCAGAAAAAAAAGCTGCTAAGATCCCTTTTTGCTTTCTTTGCTACTTCTGCCCACCATGAACTGTTTTTCCTCTGCATTGCCTGTCTGCCAAGCTACCCTTGGAGCCAGCTGATTATATGGACTGAAACCTCTACAAACTGTGAGTCAAGTAAACCTTTCTTCCTTCAACTTTGGGTGTTGGATATTTCATTTCAGCAATGTAAAAAGTAATTAAAACACTGATAGTGTGCCCTTCTACAGAAGTAAAGTTTGCCTTGCCAAAAAAACTGTTCAAAAATCTGGTTTCTTTTGTTCTTTGCAACACTGAAAAATTTATCCCTGATAGAGGCAAGAAGGACCACAAATACTTGATTACTGAGTTATTTATAAAGAAACTACCTGGTAACAGTTTGACAAATACTTTGAAACACAAACAGTTGAAATGAATCAAGGACTCAGCCAAAATGCAGGAAAATGTAAACTCTGAAAAGAAACTCACCAAAATCAGTCAAGTAGCTGCTGTTATCAGTGGCACAGAAGCCTCTCTCTTGTGCTTGGCAGTAATCCAGAAAAGACCAAAGAAAAAGTAATCATGGATATTATCCTGGCAAAAGTTACTCCCATGTGGATTTTCTTAGGACAGTTCCATGAAATCAGAACTCACTTTCAGTTTTGCAGGCCAAAACATATTACAACAAAACCACCTTGCTCTGAGTCATATTAACTCAAACTTTATAAAAAACTGGAAATTGGCAAAGGCGCTTTTATTCCTCAGCAGTTTACAATAGAAATCATCAAATGCACCACAAGTATCTTGATCCATTTAAAATCCCTTTTTCTGTGGATGAATGGTTGAAGAATCTTCAACTCTATATTGTATCACAAAGAAGCATCAAAGCAACTGGAAGACCCAAGTGGCTTACATAAGTTTAGATGATACTGAAACCCTGCTGTCCATCCTAGAATAGAGGTGGTTATATGAAGAGAAAGATAAAAGAAACAAAAGCAAATGAAAGCATACCAATGCAAACCAAGCAAATGAATACTCTAAACCAAAACAAAAGCCTGGAAATTTTCTCAAACTCTGAATTTCAACTCACTAATCAGGGTACCCATAGCCCTGCTATAGGTTGAAAGAGCCACAAATGAAAAGATCACTTGCCTCATCATAACTGGCACTGATGACCAGTCAACGGCCCAAAATGTCTTGCAGTATGTCCAAAATGGCCCCAAACTGTGAAGCTCCTTGATTCACCCAAATGGCAATGACCTAAGAGAAGGTTTAAATTATAGAGACAGTAGATCTCTGGAGCACACTTTCAAGCAGGAAGCTAGGTAGAGCTCATCAGCTCCCCAACAACATTTTTTCTTTTTAACGACAAAATAGTTTATAGGCACCTGATGCTATCCTTAGGAAGAGAAAGAAGATTCCTAGGAGCAAAAGTATCTGCCTCAGCTACTGGATTGACCCTAGAGTCCTGGCCATGGGTTCAGCTAGGCAGGAACAGTCAATGCTGTGAGAGGATCAACAGTTTGTTCTAAAAAGGTAAACAGAATATGGAAATCCCTAGGCACAGAGCATCTTATGACAATATCTAACTGGAATCGTGAGGAAACCAACAATACATACGAAAAGATAGACAATTGATATTCATTTAGCTATTTTCTATACATCTGTCATATGGATATGTTTATAGCACTTATTTTGAATAAGTAATAATTCCTTCCTATTTTGTATCCACATACAATATCCTAGAATTATCTTCCTTCATTTATAAGTACAGAAAGAAAATAAGGATGCTCATAGCTTAAATACAAGGACTTAATTTAGGTATATTTATATTATAACTCATCAATATTGGTGTAAAGCAGATGGATAAACTGTACTGGGTGCACACTACACTGACCTTAAGTCCAGTGACTTGTGATATATCTTGTCTAGAGTGGTAGGGTTGTGACTATCCCCGTGGGCCCTCCTAGGATGTAGATCTCTTTGGAGTGTTGACTCCAGCTACTTAGAACAGCTCTAAAAAGAGTGGCGACAGCCACAAGCTGGGGAGCAGTGGAAAGTAGGTGACACATGTGTCAGTTCTATTGAGGGTATCGTCTTTTCAAAGGTTCTTACTAGTTACCATGGTGCTTTCCCTGGGAAGTACTTTTGATATAGTAAGAGTTGCTGGTGTCACACTGAAACAGTTTCATATGAAGAAAAACTGTAAGGAGCTTTCATAGAAATAATTCATTTACATGGTCTTTCAAAGAAAGGGTTGATGAATTTGACAGTCTTTTTGGTTCAGACACCTACTATTAATTTTACTAGTTGTTGTTATTGTTGTTGTTGTTGTTGTAGGTACAAGATACCTGACATACAGGACTTAAAAGTAAAAGGATTACTTTAGCTCATGGTTTCAGAGCCTGAAGTCAGTTGTCATTTGATCCCAACAGAGAAATGTCACAGTGGAAGGAAATGAAGAAAGATAACTGCTGCATGAGAACCAGGGAGCACACAGCAAAGCAGGTGGCAGAGAGGAAGAGGAGGGAGAAGGCAAGGTCCTCAACGTCACACCTCCATGTCTCACCCAGACACACCAGCAGTGTGCTTTGCTAGCATCCTGCCCACCTCTCACGCCAAACAACTTATTAATCAAGAGTGTCATTGACTCCAGGCAATATTTTCCTTCTGGCAATGTTAATGTGTTGAAAGACAGAGATTTGTAACTGTTGAGGAGGGAACGTCAGGGGACAGAGAGCTTACAGTCTGAAGTCCTATGTTTCCCTGTCTCTACAATAGAAAGTGTATTTATTCAGCAGTCGTATGGCTCTCTTTGGTGTGTATTTTTTGCTTACAATGAGTAAATCAAGAGATACACTATGAGAAAGTCGTACCCATGAAGCGAACAACCATATTCCTATTTCTCACCTCTCAGAACAGCAGATCCTCCTTCTCTTGCATGGTGTCCTGGCCTGGCCTGACTCACGATGCTCTCTCACACTGATTTCTCCGTAGAGAATTAACTCTGCAACCGGCTTAGCAGACCGGTGACCCCATTTGGAAGAGCAACACACAGGAAGAGCCCACTGAGTCCAGTAAGAAGGCATGATGGTGCATACCTGAGCACTAGGGAGGCCGATACAGCAGGAGCCCCAGAGAGCTTAAGACCAGTTTGTGCTACGTAGTGAGTTCAAGAACAGAATAAATTACATAGCAAGACCCTCTTTTAAAAACAACAGCAACAACAACGACAGAAGCAGTTCTACAGTCAGAAGTAAACTCTCCTTAAATGCAGACTAAGACAGGTCAGCATCCCGGAAGACAAACTGGACAAGAAGTGTCTGGATTACTATCTCCCATTCCAGCTGCACCCACACTGCTAAGGATTGACTTCTGTCGTCACTCTCAGTTCAGAGGGTGAGCAGCGGAGCAGGAGCCAATCAGTGTTGAGGGGGCGGGCTGTATGAACTGTCCAATCAGGGGCCCGGGGAGGAGGGTTCAGTTTGCTACCTCCCAAGCCCTGAACCAGACCGCATTGCTGACTGCTGCCCCAGCTGAGTAGACCACTGTGTTTTAGGATTTCTGCTGGCTGCAGGCTGCGTGGGACGCACCCGGGGAGACCCTCCAGACACACAATGGTGACGCTGTGGGACGGATGTCCTGATTGGGGTGGGACGGGACGGGGTGAGGTCTGGGTGGAAACGGTCAGAACAGCAATGGCGGACCGGCGCCTCCCCGCTTACACAGGAATCAGAGCTCCTCTTGGTCTCGGTGCGGTACCGGTGTGCGCTCTGTCCCTGCCGCCCTGCCTCAGGCGGATCTATTTTGTGTACCCAGCACCCTCTCTCTCCACAGCCACCCGGCCAGCCTAGAGTGCAGGTTCGGGCAGCCGCAGCCGACAGCTCCATCTCCACCTGTGCGCCGACAGGGAGAATTGTGGGGAGACCCTGATTCCGGTGGGGAGCTGTGGGGAGCGGGACCCCTGGTCTCATTCGTCCCACCAGCAGACCTGAGAGATCTCAATTTTATAAATGCCTGGGATACAGAGTCTTAGTTTCTTAGGCCAATGATGCTCTGTAATGAAAGTAAATCGCTAAATTCCAATATGGGCCCACATGGTCAAACTCAGAATAAGTGATGATTAATGGCATGAGAACTGAAAGTAAGGATCGCCAGGTAGTTGGTGCACACCTGTTGTCCCAGAACTCGGGAGGCGGAGGCAGAAATTTCACTGCGATTTGGAGTCCAGCCTGGACTACCTAGTGAGGTTAATACCAGCCCGAACTGCATAGTGAGACCTTGAATCAAACAAGACAAAAAAAAAAAAAAAGAAAAAGTTTAACATTGCTGGCGGTGTGAGTCAGTGTTAGAGTTCTTGCTAAGCATACAGTGAACTCTATGTTACATACCCAGCAATGCAAAAGCAATTATCATCTTAATGATTTAGGTAGCACCTCTACTAACAGAGACTATTTAAGGGAGGCCTCCCATAGAGTTTAGAATACTGAGAAAAATTGAGAGGATCTTAATGTATTAGCGACCGTATGAGAAAATGTTGCTGCAAAGAACTACTTCCAGAAGCAGCTGTCTGTTACGTACACAGTGTGCGATCGTTACACTACTCGGAACATGTGACTTGGTAGGAGTGGAAAAGGTGAGGGGTAGCATCTCAAATTGCTACAGTCCTTGGATTGTAGGCTTTTTTAAGAATTGAAATGCTGATTGAGGTGAACTTTATATTAAAGAAATATTGTACTAGGAGCAAAGCCTGAAATGTGAGGTGTGCAGCCGTGTGAGTGATTACCAACAAATAGAAGCAAGTGGGAGAGGAGGGGATGGAGATACTGGTAAAATCCACGCCTACGTCAGAGAGGGTCTTCCCCTGAGGTAAGATTTTTTTCTAATATGGCAATAAAGAAATTGTGCGCTTGCTCAGTCTGAGAGTAGGTCAAACATCAGGCATTAAGAAAGAGCACTTAGTAAAATTTAGACAAATATGCCTTCTGTTGCTACTGATTAGGTAACCTAATTTTTTTTTATCTTTTTTTTTTTTTTTTTTTTTTTCCCCAAGACAGGGTGCCTCTATGTAGTTCAGGCTGGCCTTAAACTTACTGTGTTGCTGGAAATTGGCTTCAACCTTTGCCAATCCTCCTGACTCAGCCTCATGAGTACTGAGACTAGAGGTGTGTGCCAGTACGCCTCTCCTTCATTGTTTTTGAGGGAAAAAATGGAAGTTAGGAGATGGTCTGAGCTTGTCTGGTTTAGAAATTGCTAGATAGCATCATCTAAGTGTGATGGAAAGGGATTTGCCCAGGATACAACAGATTTTAGGTGTGGTTGATGTTTTTATTGTTCAGAAAGTTGAACTTCAGGTACTGAACTTGAGTTCCTTTGAACTACATTCTCCACACCATTTATTTGTTTGTTTGTTTGTTTGTTTGTTTATTCAATACTTGCAAGGCAGGTGGTGGAATCACTGAGCTAAATCCCCAGCCCTCCACACCTTTTAATACTTTTGAAATTTTGAAAGCCTGTTGCCTAGGCTGCAGCAAACTTTTGCTCTCGTTTCACCCTCCTGGAGTGCTGAGATGACAGGTATGTGCCACCATGCCTAGCTAAGATGGGAGTTTCTTAATCACCACTATTACCTGGATTACCGTGCTTGGTTAAGTGAAATTTCAGTGAGGCATGATACTGTCTGCCTTTCATCTCAGTCACTTGGATAAGAGAGCAAGACCCAGGTCAACATAAAGGAAAATCACCGGAGCTGCGTCTCCAGTCCAACGTAATTTGTGTAACATGTGCAAGGCCCTGAATTCAGTCCAGTACTGAAGCATAAAAGTGATAAGTACTCAGTGGAAGATTTACTTTGATTTGGAATTTTATACTGTTTGCACACTAGTGGTCTGTGCTACAGTACTTACTTGCTCAAGATACTGGGCATCAGCATTGAGTCCCAGCTCTGTCAGCAACAAGACACCAAGTGAAAGCATCCAGTGATTTTCAGTGTGGCACATTCAATAAATTATATGGATATTTAATATTTTATTATGAAATAAGCTATGTGCTACATACATTTTTCTCAAATACAAGTTTATATAAGTATGTTTATCAGTTGTAAGGAAGCAAGGCTTAGCAATAGTTGCTAGATGATGTATAATCAGTGCATTTTCAATACAGTATATTTTGAACTGCCTGTGGGTCGATCAAGATATTTTCCCTTGGTAACTCAACCAGAGTACATAGAATGCATTCCTTCAACTCTTGTAAAGTGCTTCTCTGTAGAATATGTTTGTGATGAAAAATCAGGTTTACTTGGCCTATAAAATATATAATTTACCACCACAAATGTGTGACCAATCACCTGTTCCTCTTGATTTGTACTGCCAGTCATATAAAATCTTACTTTAAATATAGCAGATGTATTTCTTCATAGTACTAATAAATTTAGTGTGTCCACATGGTGTCTCATGTTCAGACTTAAATGTCTATAACTACAGTGTGTCCCAAGAATGGAAAGAGAAACTTCTGTTTACCTTTTTTTTTAATTGAGTTTATCGGTACATTTTAGGTAAACAGTACAGTTGCATTCATTATTGGGATCTTGTACCTTTACATGACAGGTCTTGGTTCTCATTTTTTCCCCTTGTCCCTGCCCTCCCTTCACCCCTCCTCCCCTCCCCATTTACAAACACTTTATTTAAATCTTTTCATTTCCTCACATTTTTTTTTCTGTTTACCTTTTTATCTGAGAGTTTTAAAATAGAGTGGTGTCCTTTGTTTTTCAGAAGGGATTGTAAAAGATATTTGTCACATTCATAGTTGCTGCAGTGGTAGGATAAATATAGTTGTATTAAGAATATAATTTAAAGTATTTGTAGCATATCACAGCATCAAATCTAAGTCTGTACATTATTCCCTACATATGTAGATCATCTTGTCCAGTGTATTTTTCTTTTTTGGTTTTTTGAGACAGGAATTCCCTGAGTAATCCAAGTGACCTTGAATTCTTTATGTAACCAAGGCCGGGGTAAGAACTTGTGTTCTGCCTCAGCCCAATTAACTGTTGGGATTATAGGCATGTGCACCTTGCCTGGCTATCGAATTTTATCTGTACGTAGTATTTTTCTCTATGACTATCTTTTCCCTTTTTTTTTTTTTTTTTTTTTTTGGTACCGGGGAATCAAACTCAGAACCTTGCGCTTGGGAGGCAGGCAGTGGAACCACTGAGCTAAATCCCCAGCCCTCTATGACTATGTTTTAAAGAATTTGTTGATGAGGTTTTATAAAGGTGGATATATAAATGCTTGGAGGTATATGACATTTCTCATTGTTGATAATCTTTCCTTTACTGTGATATATGAAGATTTTCATGTATAAAACAAAATATTGGGAAAGATTAAGACAAGTAGCAGAATGGTTCAAAAATTAACCTTTTTTAAGGCTGACATTAGAAGTTTATGCTAACATTGATAGAAGTTTAAACTTCTAATAAAGTGTTGGTTTTGGGGGGGTTTTGTTGTTGTTGTTGTTTGTTGTTTTGTTTTGTTTTTGTATTGGCGATCGAACTCAGGACCTTGCGCTTGCCAGGCAGGCACAGTGCCACTGAGCTACATCCCTGCCCCTAAAGTGTATTTTTTTAAAGGCATAGTTTCTTACCTAAAGTGTTCATAATATTCCCATGTCATATTACATTCCTAAAAGTTTCAATTCTAATAATGAGAAATCTAACTTCTATTAAGTCGAAAACATCTTTAAAACAAACTGAAAAAAATGACCATTCGTTTCTCAGTAGTTACTAGGTGTATGCTGATTTTGACAAAACTATGTTTTCTGATTTCTAATATGATTTCTGATTAGGAATCACTTGGTTTTATTGTATGTTTAGTGAGCATTAAATTTATGAGAAGGATCATACTGTGTTACAGGTGGACTCTAACAAGATAGATCTTGTTATTCTAAGATGTTACATCTACATACGTTCATCATCTGTGGATAATGACTTTACCTCTTCCATTTCAATCTTTATGTCACTTATTTCTCTTTCTTGCATTATAACATGAGACATGAGTTTTGGTCTAATAGGACGGAACAGTGGAGATGTTGAATATTCTTGACTTATATCTGATACTAAAAGAATTCGTGTAAAGCATCTTTATTTATAGTCCCATATGTTAGTTTTGTGATATATGTGTTTTATTGTTAGTCCTTTTTGGCTTTTTATGAGAGACTCTTAATTAATAATTAATAGAAAGTCATTTAGAAAACATGTTTATGCCAAGGCTCAAATAATCACATGAGGTTTTTCTTTGTTGATTTAGGTTTCCTTCTTTCTTTTCTTTTTTGAGACACAGTCTCACTATGTAGTACGTAGTTCAGGCTGACCTGGAACTCACTATGTCACCACGTAGCCTATTTTACCCTTAAATGAACAGGGATCCTCCTGTCTCAGCCTCCTGAGTACTAGGATTAGTCATGCCCAGCTTGTTGATTTATACTTCTGATGTTGAGTCATCATAATTTGAGATAAAATATACAAATATTATTTAATTATGATATAAGGGCTGTGCTAGCATGTATGTGTGCGTTTGTGAATGTGTATTCCTTTGTATTGCTCCCAGTCCATCGCACATGCTATGGACCCATGCTACTACTTATCTTGCTGCCCAGATGAGAAGCTGTTTTCTAATAAACCCCTGTAATTTACTATTTAATATTTTATCCTGGCTTTGAAAATCTGCCTGCATAGGAGTTACAGCCTTTCTTGGTGAACATGTTGCCTAGTTTCAGGTAAAGATCACGTTAATGTGATGAAGTTTCTGCAGAGATTTCATATTTATTTATAGACAGCAACTCACTATGTAATTCAGGCTGGCCTTGAACTTACTGTGTAGCCCCAGCTGGCCTTGAACTTGTGACAATCCTCCTGCCTCAGCCTCCTCAATGCTAGGATTACAGGTGTGCACCACCATCCCTGGCTCTCTCACCTGCACCCCTTTTTTGAGACATGAGAGACCTCATCTAGCTAAGCATATCTTTTTTTGGATAATGGCTGTATTAGTATACATTTTACACACCTAACAAATACTTTAATCCTGGGGATTTGGTATACATACATATCCATCTTGATCTATATTTAAACTTTTATGGAAGCACCTGTAATCCCATAGGAGATGAATTTATGAAGAGAAGTTGTTTTTGTTTGCCCCTTGAGTTGCTTGTCAACTCCGATTCTCCACAGTTCCTCTTATTCATATACAATGTTTGAAATTTTACGTATTACTAAGAATTTACATCTACTATCTAAAGTTCATTAAATGATAATTTCATTACATTTTTTCTCTTAAAATATCCTCGATTAGCCAGGTGCAGTGGTATGCCTATGCCTTCTCTGCATTCCAGAGGCTGATCAACAAGATCAACATTGGAGGACCAACATGGAACACACAGTGACTCTTTCTCAGAAATGAAACTATCAGTGGTCTTTGCAAATATCTCATATTTTTCATAGTGAGTTGTGGTATTATACCTGCCTTGTTGTTACTCCCTACTGTGTTTTTCTTTTTCCATGTATTGATTTCTGTTTTGTTAATTAGTGGTTCTGTTTTTCTCATGAACTGCTCTGGCTGTTACGTATGTATGTATGCATATGAATTCTTTGCTTGGGAAAGGGTCTCGTTGTTTGGGCTGGCTTTGAACTCAATATGAATTCTAGGCTGGCCTCGAACTCGTGGAGATCCTCCTGCCTCACTCTCTCAAGTTCTGGCATTAGAGATATGCACTACCACGCCTTGCCCTAAATATATTTCTTAAAACCCTCTATATTCGCTGAACATTTTTATTTCAAATTCTGACAATATTATATTATCACTTCATTCCAAATATTTCCAAATTCATTTTGTGATGTATTTAAAACAAGAGATTATTTAAGAAGGAATTTTGCATCAAAAACACATGGATGAACCGCATGCAGTTCAGTGGTAGAGCAGCACATGCTTAGGGACACTGAGGTCTTGGATTCCTCTCCTCTGCCTTGCACTGAGAAAAGAAAGAAAATGGGATTTGTTAAGCTATTCAATCTTTCTAATTTCTAACTTTTCTTTATTAAAATTAAGGCAATATTTATACTTTATAAATGGAGGAATATGTCATATGTTCTAAGGTAAGTTTTACAAAACTTGTCTGTTTGGAAACATTCTGTTTTTTGAATAATCTAAATATATCTAATACCTAGTACACGAATAATATCGAGAGAAAAAATGAATAATTTATACTTTACATTTCCATAGTTTGTTAAAATTTGGAATTACAGTAATATCCTTATGTATTACTGATGTAAGTATTTTCTATATCAGTGAAGTTGGGTTTTGGGGTTTTTTTTTAATGAGAAATAAGACCTCTGGAGTGAAAAACTAACAATACAGATGTAAACCAATATACTTTTTTTTTCTGGAGACAGATTTCACTAGGTAGTTGAGACTGACCTGGAACTCACTATGGAGCCCAGGCTGGTCTCGAACTCAGTGATCCTCCTGCCTCAGCCTCCTGAGTGCTGGGATTACAGGCATGCACCACCACACCTGGCCTCTTCAATGATATTTCTCTTGACATTCTTGTCTGTTTGGTGTAATATGTATTGAAAAGTGTTCTTTCTAGAGAACTGCCTTTTATATCATTATCTGATCACTGTAATCATTATTTTGAGGTACAAATTGAATATCAAGTCAATATAGCTTCTGCAGATTTTGTTGAATCAATATTAGACTACTGTATCTTTTTGGATAGCTTCCTACTTAATCTGTCTTCGTCAATGTCAACAGAACCATTTCTGTCCAGGTTGGCATAACATTGGCACCATAATCCAGATGTGTGGACATTGATCAGATCTGACATCTCTTGCCTTTATTCTCTGACACATGAACCTGTTCTCCTGATGGGCAATATAGAATTTGACCGCTGCTTGCTGGGGGGTCTGTAGGTCTCCTGTTTGCAACTGGGCTGCTTTGGTTATTGCTGCCCAGTGTGTGAATGAAGTCTTTTCATGTGTAAATGCAGACATACAGATATAAATTAATATGTATTTTCTTAATGGTAATTTAGTGTTTAAATATTTTGAAGTAAATTTTACTTATTTTTGTCTTGTTTATATCCCATGATTGTCTTTTTTTTTTTTTTTTTTTTTTTTTTTTTTTTTTTTGTACCAGGGATCAAACTCGAGTCCTTGTGCTTGCAAGGCAGGCAGCAGAACCACTGAGCGACATCCCCCGCCCCCATGATTGTCTTCTTCAGATACATCTAAAAGTTATTTCATTATGAATTTTCAAGGCACTCAGATTTATCTTTCTCATTTCAATATAGAACTTAACTATTATACATAAAATAGAAGAGCATACAATCCAGGTTTTCAACTACATCCCTGATTCTCCTTGAACATAACTGAAACGTATTGTGATTTCTTACAGAGGCACATAATACCAGCTCTGTCATGAGTCAGTATTCCATATATTTGTGGACCCAGTGAGGACTGCCTTCTCCTGAGATCCACTTGTCATTCTCTTTACTAATGGTACAGACTTCATGAAGGGTGAAATGTGAATGTCTTTCATATAAGCTATTGACTTTCTGGTTTAGAAGGTGTTGAGTGTTGTTAGACTTTTAGTACAGCTATAATTTTTTTAAAAAACCAAAGGTGCTATGTCTAAGTGACGTTTTTTGTTTGTTTTGTTTTGAAGTTTTGGGGGGAGTTTGAGGCAGGGTCTCACTTTTCATTTCAGCCTGATCTTGAACTTATTGTATAGTCAAGGCTGGCCTCAAACTCATGGCAATCCTCCTGCATAATCCTCCCAAGTGCTGGGATTACAGGCATGTACCGCCACACCTGGCAGAAATTTTTCTTTTGTGCCTCATTACTTTGTGACATATTGGTTTTCAACGCATGTAATATGTTTTATTCATCTTCTTCTCTTCATTACGCCCCTGTATACCCCTAGAATTTGACCACTTGGTGATGCAAGGTGACTACTTGGTAACACAGCCATAGGATAATTTGCCAGCCTTTCCCCGTTTTCACTGTTCATAGACTTGTTGCAATAAAACTTTTTCCATTCGCATTTCAATTAGCATTCATAAACCTTATTTGATGTTCAATTATTTTCTTTTCTGTGAAACCAAAATTCAAGTTTCAAAATGCTGGCTAAGTACAATCAAAGAAGAAAGGCTTCAATACCATGAAGAGTAAGATTTGGAAAGAGACCTATGTTCTATCAAAACCATTCGTTAAGTATACATCTGCTCAAGTGTTTTGTGGATGGTGATCTGGGCTCCCTCTGTGAGCTCTGCTTTAGAGACAGTGCACAGATACCCTTGTAGTGACCAAGCAGAAGAACCAGTGCTCGTCTTCTGCTGTTGCTTTAGCAGTGAGTGGCAATCTAGTATCGGAGTTCCTATGTGAAGGAAATGTGCATACACATGGAATTGATTGAGACATAGAGTTAATATTTGAAAGATTCAGCCTCTCCTCAGCTTATTTAACAAATAAAAAGGAAGAGACAGAGACAATTTTCAAGATATAAAGGGGACCAGGATGAGACCTGCCTCTATTGGACAGACTCAAATAGAACTTCACAATTGGCCTGCTTTTATTAGCCAGTCAGAAGCACAGGGGGAAGGGTAGCACACGTTTCACGGAACAGGATGAAGTTAATGAGGAGCCACATTTTCTCTACATTCAAATGCCTGTATATTGACAACTGCCCTCAGCAGATTGTCTTGCCTCAGGAGTGCCAGGTTATTGGCATTTGACCCAAAGCAAAGGGGCATGCAGCCTTCCACATACTTCCGTTCCTAGGTAAGATAACAGTGACCTGAAGACTTGTATCTGAGTCCTTGGAGACTGTGAGATCGGAGCTATGTAGTCTAGTCCCCAACACTCAGATGTTTTGTTTTGTTTTTGCCTGACGGGGTCTCACTCTGTAGTTCACTGTGTAGCCCACACTGGCCTTGAACTCATGGTGGTCTTCCTGCCTCAGCTTCCTGAGCACTGGGATTACAGATAGGCACCACCACACCTGGCTCTTAACTCAGATTTTTATGAGAGGAGTTGAGATATCCCAGGCCGTAAGCCTCAACCTTTCCTTTATATGTGTGATCATTTAGGAAGCAGTGATCTTTGAGGATGTGGTTGTGAACTTCACCTTGGAGGAGTGGGCTTTGCTAAATCCATCCCAAAAGAAGCTCTACAGAGATGTGATGGGGGAAACCTTTAGGAACATGGCTGCTATAGGTAAGGATGACATCTCTTTCTCGTTTCCAGAATCAGAGAATACTGTTTGTTGCTTATCAGTGCAGTTTCATTAAATAGAATGTGAAAACATTTTGAAGAATATCTCTGGCCTGGTTACAGTATACCATAAATGTAACTGGAATCTATTAATCTTTCTGTAATAGCATAATGACTTCTTATATTTCTATGTCTACAATTCAGAAAGAGCCTGGGATGATAACCAGGAACTTGAAGAGGAGTACAAAACTTACTGGAGAAATCTAAGGTAATTTGCCTTCACAAGGAAAAGGAATGTTTCTGAAGAATCAGTATTTGAGCAGAAGCATGACAGTCAAGAGAATGAGACCATCTTCAGATGTATGAGGTCTCACAAATATTCTTCAAAGATTTAGACAGCTTCAGTATATGTAATCTGACAATTGAATGTGGAAATATTCCAACGTAGGAAAATAACTTGGTACTGATAGCGTGTGCAACAAGTGACACTGCCAGACGTATAAGTATAGAAGCTGTTCTTTCATGATCATGAAATTGCATTTCAGTATTGCATATAGCTGTATGTGAAAAGAATAAATGTTTAGTGTTGACAGGAACCCATCTTCAGGATATCTATTTACAGATACATGTGAATATGAGATACTCAATATCTAAAAATCTCTATCCGCGAAACAGTATTCAAAGTGCAAATGAATGCTAGTGTTGTAATAATAAGTGTTTTCAAGCCATGCTCCAGAGAATTGAGTCATTCATGTTTTAAAGTTCTTAGGAGATGGTTCTGCCACCTGCCTCGCAAGTGCAAGGACATGAGTTCGATCCCCAGTACCAAAAAAAAGAAAAGAAAAGAAAAGAAAAAAAAATATATATATATAAAATAAAGTTCCTTGAAGGCACCTTCCCACATTGTTAGTGGGAACGTTAAGCACAGCTACTATGAACATCAATACACAGATGTCTTAAAAAGTAAAACCACCTCTGCCTGCCTCACAAACACACGGTTAATGAGTTGGATCCCTGGTACCAAAAAAAAAAAGTAAAGTAAAACCAAAAGTTGTGTTTGATCCAGGCATGTCTGTCCTGTGTAAATCATCATATCCTGTTTAAATCATCACATTATACTAGTAGATGCATATGCATACTCAAAGAGGGCCAATTTATGACAGCCAAGCCCTGGAACCAACCTAGATGGCCACCACTGGATGCATGGGTAAGGAAAACTTTCGGTAGGCTTAGTGCGAAAGTGCGTTCTCCCCAGCACTCTGGGAAGCTGATTCAGCAGGATGGCAAGTTGAAGCTCAGTGTGAATAATTTAATCCTCAATTTGCATCTCTTTCAAAATAAGAAAGAAAAAAGCTAGCGATGTAATGCATCGCTAAGTCCTGTGCTTAATTCCCAGCAATGAAAAGAAAAAGAAAATGTGCTATCTAATCAACCCTAAAGATGAATGATACGTCATTTGGCAAAAGAAATGGGTGAGTTTATCCCATCATGTTGAGTGAAATAAGTCAGGCACAAAATGTGAAATGTCGCATGTTTTCTCTTAGATGAGAAAACCAAAAATATAAATTAGGCAATAAAATAACATGATAGAAAATGGACAGCCTGACTTTTTGGAGATGGGAAAGACAAATGGGGTAAGAAGAGAAGGGGGAAAGTTATGCAAGGAAAGGTATAAAAATGATTAACGTGTGATATACATCTGTACCAACTACTGAAAATGAAACTAAAACTTCTGTATTTCAAAAAACATACCAACTTTAAAATTCCCAAATGCGTACCACTCTTTTTGGAATGGCGTTTTTTGAAGGTGTCCTCAGGGTATTCAGTTAATTTGTTGTCAGAATTGCTTAGCAGGCATGAAAACAGAACTTGTTCTGGTGAATCATTAATATGGAGACCCATTTCATTATGACTGTTTTACTTTTCCTTACAGAAATACATCCTGGAATCAATATAAGGAAATACTCCTTCAGACTCCAGATGCTGATGTCGTCATGAAACTCGCTGGCTTAAAGCCAGCTGAGAGCCTTACTTACAGAAAGCCCCTGATTGGGCCTTTGTTCCTCAATGGGCCCATCATAGCTCACACTGCCCTGAAGCCATGTGAGTATCTGGGATCTGAAGAGCTGTGTAATTGTAATGAGCCTGGAAGAACCTGCAGTGATTTCCAGTCCTTTCAGAAGCATGCAAGGGCAAAGGCTAGAGGGAAATCCTATGAATGTGGTCAGTGTGGAAAGTCCTGTTCTGACCTTAGTGAAAGAACTCACCTTAGAGAGAAGACCTTTGTGTGTAAGGAAAAATTGAAAGCCTCCAGTACACCCAGTGATGTTCAGATCCATGAAAGAAATCACAGTAGGGAGAGGTGCTACGTATGTAAGCAATGTGGGAAAGCCTTCATGAGACGCAGTACCTGTAAAATACATGAAAGAATTCATATAGGGAAGAAACCTTATGTATGTAATCAGTGTGGGAAAGCTTTTACTACACAGAGTTATTGTAAAGCACATGAAAGAAGACACACTGGGGAGAAGCCCTATGTGTGTAAGCACTGTGGGAAAGCTTTCAGCACACGTGGATATTGTGAAATACATGAAAGAATTCACACAGGGGACAGACCCTTTGTATGTAAGCAGTGTGGGAAAGCTTTCACAACACGTGGATATTGTGAAATACATGAAAGAATTCACACGGGGGAGAAACCCTATGTATGTAAGCAGTGTGGGAAAGCATTCAGTGCACAGTCTTATTGCAACATACATGAAAGAATTCACAGTGGAGAGAAGCCCTATGTATGTAAACAATGTGGGAAAGCTTTCAGCAGGCGTAGAACATGTACCATGCATGAAAGAAATCACACTGGAGAGAAACCCTATGTATGTAAGCAATGTGGGAAAGCTTTCAACACCCGCTGTGCTTTTCAAACACATGAAAGACGTCACACTGGGGAGAAACCTTATGTCTGTAAGCAATGTGGGAAAGCTTTTAGCACACAGATTCATTGTCAAAGACATGAACAAATTCACAGTGGGGAGAAACCCTATGTATGTAAGCAGTGTGGGAAAGGTTTCACCACACGTGGTGCTTGTCAAAGACATGAAAGAACTCACACTGGTGAAAAACCCTATGTATGTAATCAATGTGGAAAAGCTTTCAGTTCAAAGGGTTACTGTAAAATACATGAAGGAACTCACACTGGGGAGAAACCCTATGTATGTAAGCAATGTGGGAAAGCTTTCAGCACACACTTTTATCGTGAAAGGCATGAAAGAACTCATACTGGAGAGAAACCCTATGTATGTAAGCAATGTGGGAAAGCTTTTAGCACAAAGTATTATTGTAAAGTACATGAACGAAATCACACTAGGGAGAAATCCTATGTATGTTAGCACGGTGGGAAAACTTTCAGCACATGCCAAAAACGTGAAGTCTCATTAGGGAGAAACTATATATGTAAACCTATTTTGAAAATCGTGTCACAATTTTTCATGTAGTGGAGACCTGTAGAGATAATTAACACAAAATGTTTGCTGTCAATATTTCTTCATAAATTTTCCAGAAAATACAATTCCAGATGGAAATGTCCTAAAGTACACAGTGAGTTTTTCTGTACGTCACTTATAAATATCAGGATTATATATCTGTAGTATTTAATATAAAAATATTACATCGACATAGTTGTTTTTGTATAAGTGTCCATGAGTTTAATACATAATGTCATTCAATTAAATGTGGTGAGTTGAAATATGCGTTTTACTTTTAAGTATGGTGTGTATTGATGTAGTTTTTATTTTGCCTTTAAAATTGTGAAGTATAGGCCACTAAAAAACTTAATATTGTTAACTGTTGAGATTCTGCCACTGCATTTGTTTTAATTTTTGGTTCATATACTTCACATTCTATTTATCAAAAGATGTTTTTGAATTTGATGCTATATTTTATATTAAGATATATTTTCAGAGACTTGTGTACATGTGTTTTTGTTTTTGGTACTGGGGATTGAACTTGGGCCCTTGCACTTGCAAGGCAGGCAGCGGAACTACTGAGCCAAATCCCCGGCTGTACATGTGTTTTTGTTTGTTTGTTTTCCTGTTAAGTTTATTGGTACATTTAAAGCAAACAGTACAGTTACATTTATCATTGGGATCTTGTACCTCTACATGATAAGTCTTGGTTCTTATTTTTTCTCCAAACCTTTACCCTTCACCCCCTTCATCCTCCCCTATTTATAAGATGTGGCCTTTCTATAAAAGTGGAGTACTACTCAGCCATAAAGAATGAGAAACTAGAGGCATTTATAGCTAAATAGATGCGCATTAAGGTTATACTCTTAAGTGAAATAAATAGGACACATTTGAGTAAATACTGAATAGTTTCTCTGGTATGATAAACTAAAAATGTAAATAAGGTTCATAGTATAATTGATAGTGTGAAATAGGAAGAAAATGGCTAAAGGGGAAGAGGAAAGGGGAGGGGAAGGATATAAGGAAAAAGAAAAAATGTGAAAAAGGAAAAAATGGAAACAAAGCCTTTTTACGTGTGTTTTTGACACAACTGTTTTCATACAACTTGCAGATTTGCAAATATTTTGATTTTTATATGTTCATAAGATTGGCTTATCATGTACATAATTTTGCCTACTTTTCTTTCATTTTGAAGCAGGTATTAGCAATTACATAAATTTTTTATTTCTTACCACTAGATTTTTCATGTTTATATTGGAATGACTTAATTTGCTGGGATTTTTTTTTTTCTACCATATGTACCAAAAATAAACTATACTGCTATGAGTTTGATTGCCATAGAGCAGTAGGTCATAACTAGTCTTCAAAAGGCTATCATGAATTATAGTAATGTATCCAGAAAGTATACATGATGGTATGACTTACCAGTAACACTTTTGAAAGAAATGTTATCATCTGTGGAGTTGTTTGGGGGAGAATGTTTGCTGTTAAATTTAATAAGGCAACTGGATTTATTCTATTCCCTGCTGCTGTGATACCATTCCCCTGAGTAAACATTATTATTTTTTTCTACCTAATAAGCTGAACTAATAGCATAAAGGAAAATCTAACTCATGAGAGGTATCATTCTGTTGATTAAAAACTGAAAATTTACTAATTTGTAGTTCACATTGTATTCTGTTTTACTAATTTTTGAGATAAATTTATAGAATGCCATTTCTCATTGTTCATAAGAACCACTATCTGATGAGTGAGGTGTGTGACAGTTGTCTTCAAACACATATGAAAGGTGTGTGCATGAGTCTCACTTGGTCTCCTTTAACCTGGGTTTTTTATAGTTATTTTAACATTGAAATACATAAGTGAGCAAAGCATTAAATATCCATAGACACATAAATTATTCCCCAGATGTGTAATATCATCCAAAATTATGTCTATTTTATATCTGAACTATTCAATATAGTTCATGGAATGTCATACACGACAGAGAACAGCGTCAGTTTCTACACCCTACTACGTGTGCCAACTTCCCTATAGCCCACTTCTCCTTCTTACCTTCACCAGGGAGATAGGTAGTGTGTATTGCTATCCAAATAGAGATGGAATATTTAAAATACAAGACATTTTATCCTGAGTGCTATTTAACCTTGAAACAAACGTTGACAGCTCAGGTGATGGATATTTGTGATCCCAGCAACTCAGCATGCAGAGGTGGATGGTAAACACAAATTGAGGCCGTCCTATTCGACCTAGTGATACCTGTCTCAAAATATATGTAAAAGGTCTGCAGTGGAGGCTCATGGCTTTAGTACTCCTAGGTTTAATCCCCAGTATCTAAATTATGTTAATACAAACTTACATATCCATGTTTTGTCCTTTTCTTAATGTCTAAGCCAAATGCTATTATTTTCGTCCCAGCATCAGTAGAAACTATGAAACTGTTCTCTTGATATCTGCATTTTAAATTTTAGGAAAGAAAAATTTAGGTCAAGAATATAAACAAGACAGGATGAAAAAACTTGGTATTGCAAATTATGATTTGTTGCTCAGGAAATATTCTTTGCATGGTAATATTTGTATGGCAGTCATATATGCCTGCATCGGGGAGTAAAACATAACGAAGCATGAATAACAGGCATCCCGCGTTCTTCCTCTAGTCACATTAAAAAATCAGTTTTCTGAATGCTGTTGACAGTGTTTTTGGTTGGAAACAAAGTGGGATGACAACAAACAAAAAGGATTATATACAATTAAAAACCTGCACAGATATGGAAAGAAATAACCTATAGAACAGGAAAAAAAATGCTTTGGAAAAAACCATGCAAGTGAAATGAATACACACTTATCCACCTAAGTAGAAATGGCCAATAAATACCTGAAAAGACATTCAGCATTTTTACCCAATAGAGAAATGCAGATTGCAACAGCATCTTGTTCCAGGAAGAACACACATCACCAGAACTCAAAAAAAAAAAAAAAAAAAAAAGTGTCCATGAGGTTGCAGGGGGAAAAGGAGCCATTCAACATCACTGGTGGGAATGTAAACTAGGTCAACCACTACAGAAGTCAGGGTGCAAAGTATTCAAAAAAGTAGTGACTCCATTCAATGTAGTGCTTCCTCTTGTGGGTATCCTCCCCAAGGAGTTAAAGACATCTCAGTGGTACATGCATATTCCTGTTTACAGCAGCAATACTCACTTTTTCTGTTGAGCAGCACCAGTGAACCATCATGCTCTGTCAGCAACCAAATATCCAAGGTAAAAAAAGTACCCTTCGGTGTACTCTATTTAAGAAATTATATGTGGTATTTTATATTTTATTATGAGATGGGCTCTATGTTGGATTATTTTTGCTGAGTGCAGGTAAATATAAGCATGCTAAGCATGAAAATATGCCAAGGGCATAGCTATGATGTTCAGTAGATTCAGTATCTCTATTCAATATATTTTATTTCAGATTTTTCAGTTGATCAAATATGTCCACTTTGTACCTCAAGGAATCTCTGCAGTCACTTCAGCTGGGTTGAGGTTACGATGCACATAACACCAACTTCCTTGCATTCTCTCAATGCTGTGTTAGTGTATTGCTGTGGAACGTACATATACACTTGCATATAAGAGTCTTCCCTGTTCAGCTCATGTTATAAAGGAACTTTTAGGTTTCTTTGTTTAACCAGAGGTTGAATTCTCCTACAGTGGGTGCCTAAGTGCTTAAACCTGGAGAAGCAACATCTGCCTGCTCAGATGAAGCTAGTAGCTGAAGAACAAGAAGAGCCGATGGTGCCACCGCAGCCCGAGGTGGAAGGTGCTGAAGCCCGTAAGAAACTACTAACAAGGGCCAAGGATTTAGCTCAGTGGTTCCGCCACCTGCCTCGCAAGCACAATACCTGGGTTCAATCCCCGGTACCAAAAAATAAAACAAAAATAACATTGCAAAAAATGTTCCTTAAAGAAAGAAAGAAACTACTAACAATCATCTGTATCCAAAGACTGAACACTGGAGTCGGATGTTCTTGAATGATGACTTCATCAAGCATCACACCTGTTTAAGAAAATTCAAGCATCCAGAAGCTTCTCTCTTCTGCTTTTTTTTGTTGTTGCGATCGTTCCGATGCCCAGTCCCCTTGGATGACACCGATGTTTCTCACCGAGATCAGTGGCCCATTTATCAATTATTTTCTCTAGAGGGACACACAGAGACACCCAGAAGTTGGTTTACTAAATTTTATACTGTGCCCCCATCAAGTCATGATGATGACATGATTAACAACCCCCAAACAAAACAACTTTAGTAAGTTAAAATGTTTATTACGTGTTTACAGTGTATAACGTTTACATTTGTTGTTAGAAAGTGGCACATGTATGCAGCACGTCTAACACTTTTTTACTTCTTTCATCCCCATTTTTCCCTTTTCCATGCATTTCTTCATCCTGTTTCCACTTGTAAAGGGTTTCTTATTTTCCAATTTCTGATTTTATTTTTTCCTATAAAAGTTAAACAGAATACCTCTAGTAGTAAAGTCAATCATCTCTAAACAGCAGCATCCTGAATATGCAAGTGTATAAGGGTTTCAGCATCCTTCCTGTGTTTGTAAATCCGCAGAATATGATTTCAAGAGGCCTCTCCCAGCTTGCAAAATACTTTACAGGTATCTGTAACAGTGCATTTGTTTTAAACGTGTATTCATGGCCTGATGCTTTTTTGCATGGACCTACTTCTGCCAGCATGGAGCAAAATGAATTGTAGAGGAAACAAACGGTTTTGATATATGAAGAGTTGGGGGCATCAGACTGAAATATGTACGCATAAAGAGAATAAACCTGTGAAGAGAGGTCATAGAGGAAAAACTCATTTACACAACTTTTTA